GACTCTAATCCAGTATGACTGTTAGGATTCAGCTGCAGACTCGGTTCTTTCACTGTGTGTTACCCTGTAATATGCCAGTTGTAAGCTGATCTGGATGAAGGCGTCTGGGCTGATCCGGCATTTCTTGATCCGTCCTTTGCCAAACTCTCTGAATGGAAACACGTGACAGTCAACATCATCTGCCAGCGCCTGTGCAACAGCTAGAGAACTGCTGACCTGAGCCTGAACCTGAAACACAGAATCACACTGCACAATCAGCACTGCGTGACAAGATTTTGAGTGAAAGTCAAAAAGCTCCAGATGTTGTCATGCAAATCGGTTTACAGCTGCCATACAAGGCAACACCCTTTAAAAGAACGCACACACAGCACAGGCTGGTTTCTTCCTAATTCTGTATAGAAAATATTTTCTCTAGATTACAAAGAAAAGACAGCAGATAAAGGTGGAAGCAGTTTTGTGTTTTGTCCATTTCTAGTGAAAGCTAAAGACTCGAGGAGGGAGCAGAGGTCAAACAGAGCCTGTATCCATAACTGTACAAAGATATTACGCGATGTCTGTAAAGTCCTCAGTCATCGTAGACTTCTGTTTGAAAGACGCACTTATTCTCTTTCCTCCACTTCTGCCAATGTGCACAAACCTGGACTTCCTTTTATGAGGCCACATGAAAGATTCGGAAATCTGTTATTCCAAAATGTGAGCCTGTTGAAATCAGTGCTGATGTTTTTTCAGTGGTTTACCAAAAAATTATACAATACAGTCACAGAAAGAAAAATAACAGTTTCACCCTTGTTTAAGATTAGTATGACAGATTGCAGATATCACTGTACATCTCAGAGTCTTTGACATCAGTTGGTCCAATGCTAACTTCCATCTTTGTACATTTTCTTCTGTGGATGAATTACAAGACGAAGCAACGCCGAGGTCACTCCACTGTAGCTACAGTCCTATTCCCGTCCTCACCGGATGAATTTATATTCCCATTCAGCTGGAACGTGGCACACCGTCGTCCCTAGACTCACACATTCAAGCTCATCTAGTTTTAATCCAGCATGTCACATGTTCCAAACCTCACATGGCCTTCAGATCAGCTGAAGAACAGTGCTCGGGGTTTCCATCAGCTGATGCATCAAAGCCTTTTATCACCAAGCACAATGAAAGGCATCGAATGCAGATTCCTGATATCTTTTTTTACAAATTGATTTTAAGCTAAGATTGAGCTCATGTTTAGTACTTTTTATTACTTTGTTCTGTGTGCAAGTCACAAACTTATTGTGTTGACTGGAAGTCCAGTTTTGTAATACTGAGAAAAATACAAAAACTTTTCTAATAAAGTGTTTTTAAATATTTTTAAATATTC